GGAGGAGGGAGGAGGAGGGAGGAGGCGGAAGAGGATGGAGGAGGAGGATAAGCGGGCATTGTTCTTAGAAGGTGTGTGGGGGCCCTTGCGAGAGGGGGTCACTCCCGCGAGTGTTCCCGCGGGGGGGGCTCTGAGAGCTCATTCCGATCCAGCTGATCACATTCGATATCGATGTTGGCCTGGTCGATCCGATTCGATTCCGAAGCTGCGACATAAAACGTGTTAAACACACGTATGTGTATGCATGCATGTATGTAAGTATGTTTGTATGTATGTAGGTATGTATGGTATTGATGTATGTGTGTATGTGTGCAGGCATATATGTGTGTATGTCGGTGTGTATGTATGCATGTATATATATATATATATGCGTGTAAGTATGTATGTCGGTGTGTATGTATGTATGTATGTATATATATATATATATATATATATATATATATATATATGTGTGTATGTGTGTATGTATGTATGTATGTATGTATGTATGTATGTATGTATGTATTATTGTGTGTATGTATGGATGTGTGTATGCGTGTATGTATGTGTGTATGTGTGTATGTGTGTATGCATGTATGCATGTATGCATGTGTGTATATGTATATGCATCTATGTATGTATTGTTGTATGTATGTACGTATGTGTGTATGAATGTGTGTATGCGTGTATTTGAATGTATGTATGCATGCATGCATGTATGTATGTGTGTATGTATGTATGTATGTATGTATGTGTGTGTATGTAGGTATGTGTGTATGTGTGTGTACGTATGTATGTCTATATATATATATACATGCGCACAGTTATGTAGGTACATGTGTGTATGTATGTATGTGTGTATGTATGCATGTGTGTGTGCATTTATGTATGTGTGTATGTATGCGTGTACGCATGTATGCACGCATGCATGTGTGTATGTATGTATGCATGTATGTGTGTGTATGTATGTGTGTATGTGAGAGTATGTATGTATGTATGTATGCATGCATGTATGTATGTATGTATGTATGTATGTACGTGTATGTATGTATGCATGCATGTGTGTATGTATGTTTGTGTACGTACGTATGTATGCATGCATGTATGGATGCATGTATGTATGCATGTATGTGTGTATGTGTGTATGTTTGTATGTATGTATGTGTGTATGTAGGTATGTGTGTATGTATGTGTACGTATGTATGTCTATATATACATGCGCACAGTTATGTAGGTAAATGTGTGTATGTATGTATGTGTGTATGTATGCATGTGTGTATGTGTGCATGTATGTATTGATGTATGTATGTATGTACGCATGCATGCATGTATGTATGCCTGTCTGTCTTTATGTATGCGTGTAGGTATGTACGTATGTATGTGTGTACGTATGCACGTATGTATGTGTGTATGTGTGTATGTATGTATATATGTTTATGTGTACGTATGTATGTGTATATGTGTATGTATGTATGTATGCGTGTATGCATGTATTAATATATGTGTGTATGTATGTGTGTATGTATGTATGTGTGTATGTATGTTTGTGTTGATGTGTGTATGTATGTATGCATGTATGCATGCATGTAGGTATGTATGTATGTGTGCAATATGTAGTTATGTATGCATGCATGTATGTATGTGTGTATGTATGTCTGTGTGTCTGTCCCATGTATGTATGTGTATGTGTGTATGTGTGTATGTATGCATGCATACATGCATCTATGTATGGCGGTACGTATGTAAGTAGGTATATGTATGTATGTATGTATGTATGTATGTATGTGTATGTTTGTATGTTTGTATATATATATATATACTTCTATGTATACATGAAGCATAACGATGTCCCGACGCTCATATGCGGCCCATTGCTGGCCTGACGCTGCCGTGCATCCTGCCGCAGCCAGTCTGGTCCGGTGGTTTGGCCCCGGGGCCGATGCGGCCGGACCCGGCGCAGACCTGCCGAGCCGTTGCTGCATGACCGTGCCATCTTGGAGAGGGCCGGCCCCCTGCTGGCCACTGCCATTTCCTCCGCTCGCCGCTGGGCCTGAGGCCCCACGACGAACACGACGACGACGACGACGACGCTTCTCAAAAGCCCCCGTGTCCACGTCTTCCTGAGGCGACACCACCACCAGGCCCAGTGGGTCCATCTCCAGCAGGGGGCGCCCTGGATGCCTCCCCTGGCTGGGCACAGGGGATGCCTCGAGCGAGGTGGGGGGGGACCACACCGCCAGGAGGATCCTCCCTGTCGCCTCGCCCTGGTGGTGGTGGTGGTGGTGTCGCCCTCAGTGGCCTTGCAAATGACAGGGCAGTTTTTGCTGCCGTTTTCGTCTTTCCTGTTTTTCTTCTGGTTCCGTCGCCGTGTTTTTGCTCAGGGTTCCGGCTCCGGTTCCAATCCCGGAGCCGTTGTTTGCCGTTCCGGCGAGTCGCGTTTGCACCTCTTCCACGTTCAAGATCAAGGCTTCTGGAGACGGTTCGAACGGCCCTGCCGTTTCCAAGAACCCCGAGGGTGCAACCTCTCTTTGCTCCTGCTCGAGGGCCCGGGCAGCCGTCCTCGAAGGCTGCACCGCGGACCGCCAGACCCGTCCTGCCCCCCTCCTTCCCCGCCTCCCTCGTCTGCGTCCTCGCCCCTTGCCCCCATGGCACGGGAACCCTCAGGTGTACGGTCTCGGGGCCCTCGCGAGGCCTGAGAACACGTGTCTTTTTTATACGCGTTCTCGTCACACGTTCGCTCTCGTCTTCGCCAACGATGGGGCGTCTAGTTTCGTTCCAGTGTCGTTCTGGTGTCGTTCCAGATTCGTTCCAGTTTCGCTCCAGCGTCGTCTCGATTTCGTTCTGGTGTCGCTTCTGTTTCGTTCCAGTGTCGTTACGGTGTCGTTTCTTTTTCGCTCAAGTTTCGTTCCCGTTTCGCTCCGCTGTCGTATCAATTCCTGTTCAGTTCTGTCCCAGAACGAAACTGGACTGAAATTGCAACGGAAGTCAAGAGCGCGTGCGTTAATGAAGGGTCCCGTGACCTTGCATCTAAGAACCCTGACTTCGAATCTGCCGTACTTTGGGGGGTCTCGCTGATAGGGCGGAGATTTCCGCCCCACTCTTCGAGCTCCTCTGCCGTCGATTTCGGCCCGATCTTCCCGTCGCTGTTTCCGCCGCACGTTTGCGGGAATATCTGCCTTGCATTGCTTTGTTTTGCGGGGGTGTCCAACATGATCCAACCCACTTTGCTGCTGAGGCGGAACTTTCCACCCCATGTTTTCGCACCGTGTGGGGTGCACTTCTGGCACACATGCAAAAGTTGGGCAGTCAACCAAAGTACGGCGGACCCGAAGTCAGGGAGGCGGGAATGAGCGGCGAAAGAGGGGGCAGGGGACTGGCAGGCCAGGGGGCTGGCAGGGACAGCGGGGTGGGGACGAGCGGGGGCAGATGGCGAGGGGCCCATGGCCCCGTCATCCGCACGGCTCTTCTGCTCTCGTGCTCTCCCGCCCCTCCCTTTCTCCAGGGGGGTAGGAGGACGCGGAGGCGGAGGAGGAGGCGGAGGAGGAGGAGGAGGGGGAGGTGGACCAAGCCCGCCCGCAGCTCAAAGCTCGCAGGTGAAGGAGGAGGAGGAGGAGGAGGAGGAGGAGGAGGAGGAGGAGGAGGAGGAGGAGGAAGGAAGAGGAAGGAGGAGGATGAGGAGGGATGAGGAGGAGAAGAGGAGGAAGGAGGGAGGGAGGAGGGCAGGAGAGAGGAGGAGGAGGAGGAGGAGGAGGAGAAGAAAGGAGGAGGCCCGGGGAGGGGGTCGGGGAGGAGGAGGACGGGGGGGGAGGAGGAGGAGAAGGGGAGGAGGACGAGGGGGAGGAGCCGAAGCAGCACATGACACGCCAGGGGTCAGCCGCCCACCCCCGTCGGCGGCCGCCGTCGCGCCGAGGCGCACTGCCGAGCGCCCGTTGGCCTCTCCGCCGCCCCGCCGTGTGCGCCGCCACTGCCGGGGTGTGACTGGCGGTGCCGCCGCTGACCAAGGAAGCCCTCCCCCCGCCCTCCCCCCCTTCCCCTCTTCCTCCTCCTCCTCTCTCCCTCCCTCCTCCTCCTCCCCCATCCTCTACTCCTCCTTCCCCTCCTCTCCTCCTCCTCCTCCTCCTCCCCCTCCTCCTGCCGCCTCCTCCCGCCTCCTTCCTCCTCCTCCTTCCCCCCCTCCTCCTCCTCCTCCCCCTGGACGCCCCTCGGAGGAGGATTGGATTGGACGCTTCTGGGAAGAGAGAGGGTAACACTAGACAGCCTGAGGGAACGGGGATGGCACCCCTAGCCGCAAGGAGCGCGGCCAGGGATGATATCCGCGCGCACCCCCCGCCAACCTGTGGAACCCATGGGAACAACCACCGCGATGAGTCCCACGCAGTGCAAAGCAGGGGCGTGCAAGCGGCAGGCTACAAACCAGTTCCATTGGTTGCCACCACTACGCACGATGTAGCAGAGTCGTTTAAAAAGAAACCGTATCTTCCTCCTCATTCTCCTCCAAGCCTCCACCACCCCATAATCGAGCAGACAACTCCGAGGAAAGAGGCAGGGGGAGGGAGGGATACTAAGGGCAGGGGCATGGGTGAGGGAAGCCTAGGCAGCAAAGCTTCTCACCCGCTTGTTGTCGTCCTTGCCCTTATTTTGCCCTAGCGCGCACGCCGAACCGCAGCGTGAGCATCCGCAGCACGGCGATGAGCAGGACCACCATCGGAGGAGGAGGAGGAGGAGAAGGAGGAGGAGGAGGAGAGGAGAGGAGAGGAGAGGACGAAGCTGGGGAGGGCGATGAGGGGGGGGGGAGGGGGGGGGAAGGGGGGGAAGAGGGCTGGGGGGGGAGGGAGGGAGGCGAACAGAGAGGTGGACAGGGGAGAGGCGGCGGGGAGAGGGGACGGGAGAGGAGGAGGACTGAAGAGAGGGAGGGAGGGAAGCGAACGCGGAGGTGGATGGAGGAGGAAACGGGGAGAGGAGATTGTAAAGATGAGGATGAGGAGCAGGAGGAGGAGAGGGGGAGGAGGGGGAGTAGGATGCACACCATGCTGCGCCCAAGCACTCCACGTCCAAGGCATTCCCCGTGCCAGCACAGCAGGGCATGACGAGCGTGGAGGGCACCCCTGCAATACAGGAGCCTCCCATATGCATTTGCAGAACGCATTAAAACAGAGAAGGGACGGAAGTAGAGATGCCGCCGCTGGACATAAACACACATGTTTGTACACATACGTTTGCCAGCGTGGACCACAAGCAGTATGTTTCTTGCAATATAGGCAGGTGGTGCGATCTATGTGGGGCAATCGATGTAGTGCAACCTATGTGGTGCAATCAATGTTGTGCAACCTTTGTGGTACAACATACGCTGTGCAATCTATGTGGGGCAGTATATTGCGTGCAACAGTTGTGGTGCAATATCCTTTGTGCAATCTACGTTGTGCAATCTATGTTGTGCAACATACGTGGAGCAATATTTGCTTTGCAATCCACCCTGCTGAACTTGAAGTCGTCATCCACTGCTCGCGCAAACATCCCACCCACCCACCCGCAACTCGGTTTGCAAAACCTCTTAAGACCGACTACGACGACACCGACGACAACGACTACGACGACACCGACGACGTCTCCAACGACTTCGACGACGACAACGACGCAGACGCCGACGACGACGACGACGCCAACGAAGGCGACGACGAGGGAGGAGGAAGGACGACGACGGCGACAACGACGACAACGACGAGGGAGGAGGGAGGACGGCGACGACGCGAACGACGAAGAAGGAGGAAGGACGGCGACGCCGATGACGACAACGACGAGGGAGGAGGGAGGGACGACGACGACGACGACGACGGACGACGACGACGACGACGGCGACGAAATAGGAGGGACGACGACGAGACGACGACGACGACGACGACGACGACGACGACGAGGGAGGAGGAGGAAGGACGACCACGGCGACAACGACGACGGAAACGACCACGACGCCAAAGAGGACGATAACGACGAACACGAGGAAAGACAGAGGACGACGTAGGCGACGACGACGACGACGACGACGCGGGAGGAGGGAGGACGGCGACGACGACGACGACGACGACGACGACGCAAGAGCGCGCGCGCACGCTTTTGTTGAACATCCGTGTTGCGAAGCCTTGGGTTTTTGGACACACGATTTTGAAATCCTTCCGAAACCGATGGGTTTTGAAAGATTTCGGCATACGGGCGCGACGACGCGCGCGTCTGCACTTCGTTCAGTTTTTTTGCAGAGGGTTCTCGCGACGGCACACTCGCAAGGGCGTTCGACAGATTTCGACATGCGCGCGCGAAGCCCGTTTGGTAGCATGTTGTGCAGATCTTGCAAAATCTGTGGTTTTCTTCAGATTTCGCAAGAGCTCGCGCGGAAGTTTTTTTAGCAAATCAGTGTTGCGAAACTTTGTGTTTTCTATGTTTTTTGGAGACTCGATTGCGAAATCCTTCCGGCACAGGCCCAGACGATGGGCGGCGACAAGGCGGCGACGGGGTGGCGACGGAGCGGTGACGGCGTCCATATAGCTGCCAAAATGACGCACAGGCCCAGACGATGGGCGGCGACGGGGCGGCGACGGCGACTACATAAGCCGCCAGGCCGACGACCAGACGATGGGCGGCGACGGGGCGGCGACGGCGACTACATAAGCCGCCAGGCCGACGACCAGACGATGGGCGGCGACGGGGCGGCGACGGCGATGATATATCCGCCGACGCACAGGCCCAGTCCCTTAGAACACAAGCAAAAACCCCAGCGTGCACCCCAAATGGCAGTTTCTTCCAGTCTATGCGGTGCAATCTATGTGGCGCAATGTATGCGATGCAACCTATATAATGCGACCTATGTGGTGCAATCTACGCGGTGCATCCTATGTACTGCAATCTACGCGGTGCAATATACGTGGTGCAATCGATTTTAACAAGCGAGCTGACACATTCCATGCTCGTGCAAACATCCCACCCGCCCACCCGCAACTTGGTTTGCAAAACCCATGCGGTGGCGATTGCGATGCATGCTTGGCGTCGGCTGGTGCATCTCTGCGGCCGCGCCAACCCAGGCACGCGCGCGCAGCGGCCAGCTCGTTTGGCGCGACCGACGCGGCCGTGGTGGCGCTAACAGCTGGGCACATCCCAGCGGGCACTTCATTGCGAGACGGCGACGTGGTTGGGCGCGGTATCATGGCATTGGCGACAACGATAGCCACGATGAAAATAGTAGCGACGCTGGTGACCAGGTCGACAACGACGAAGGCGCGGCCACTGCGGGCGCCGATGCTGATCACGCCGACGACGATGATGGTGTCCTCGCGTCGGTGATAAAGGTTCCGGCGAGAGTTTGACATGTGCGCGCGGCCGACGCGCGAGAGTGGCCCGCATGGTATTATTTGACACGGTCGTGCCCAGCACGGATCGTGCGGCGCGACAGGCCCGTTTGGCTGAGTTCCATGAACACGTTGAAAAGCCAATGTTTTTATTTGTTATAGAAAATGCAAGAGCGCGAAAGCACGCTTTTTTGAAAACTGATGTTGCGAAACCATGTGTGTTTGTATGTGTGTTTGGAAACTCGGCTTTGCAATCGCAGCGCAAACGAAGGTGTTTGACGGATTTCGGCATGCGCGCGCGACGACGCGCCTGCGTGCATTTAGTCTTGTGTTTTTGCAAAGGGTTCTCGCGACAGCACGCGCGCAAGGGCGTTCGAACCATTTCGACATGCGCGCGTGAAGCCCGTTTGGTAGCATTTGCCGAACATGTTGGAAACAAAAACAACTTATGGTGTTGAAGAATTCGCAAGAGCGCGGCGCACAAAGTTTTTTTGAGCATCTGTGCTGCCATGTGTTTGTATATGTTTCGTGGACCTTCGTCGGCCCCGGAAACGGCACGGCCGTCTTTCCACCGTTTCCCAAAACATGTTTTTTTGAAAATGGAAACGGCAAAAAAAACGGCGACCGGAAACGGCAAAAAAACGGTTCCAGGATTGGAACCGGAGCCGGAACCAGTCAAACAACGGCGACGGAACCGCTAAAAAAACGGCGTCGGAACCGGCAAAAAAACGGCAAAACGGAACCGGTAAAGAAACGGTCTTGTCGTTTCCAGGCCTTACTCAGTCTTGGACACTCGATTTTGAAATTCTCACGAAAACGGGAGGATTTCGGCATGCGCGCGCGACGATGCGCGCGTGTGCACTTCGCCCCGTTGTTTGCAAGGAGTGCGCGCGCATAGTATTTTTGCAGAGGATGGCGGGGGGAACCGATACCGGCCCATTTGGGATGGTGCAAACTCATGTTTAGGATGGATGGACGATGGGGCAGAATCATATGTAATTTGCAATACCAAAAATGGGATTGGATAGTCCAGGGGTAGGGGTAGACTCGATGCTCCTTGTAGAGAAGAGAATCTACACGGTGCATCCGATGCAATGCAGTGTATGCGATGCAATGTACGTGGTGCAATGTACCCGACGCAACCTGCGTAGCGCAATCTACGCGGTGCAACCTATGCGGCGCAATCGATGTGGTGCAGTCTATGTGGCGAAATTCACTTTGATTGTCTTGAAGCTGTCCTCTCCACTGCTCGTGCAAACGCCCCACCCTCCCACCCGCAACTTGGTTGCAAGAGTTCTTAAGACCGTGGCGGTGGGTACTAAATTGCACTTGGCAACGACAGCGACGCCGACGACGACAGCGACAACGACCACGACGACTACGCCGACGACGACTACGACAATTCCGACGACGCCGACGCCGACGACGACGATGACGACGCCGACGACGACGACGACGGCGACGACGACGCCGACGACAAGGACGACGAAGACGACGCCGACGACGACGTCGACGCCGACGACGACGACGCCGACGACGACGAAAACGACGACGACGACGTCGCCGATGCCGACATCGACGACGACGACGACGAAGGAGGAGGGAGGACGGCGACGGCGACAACGACGACGAGGGAGGAGGGAAAACGACGACGACGACGACGGCGAAGAAATAGGAGGGACAACGACGAGACGCCGACGACGGACGACGACGACGACGACGAGGGAGGAGGAAGGACGACCACGGCGACAACGACGACGGAAACGACGACGACGCCAAGGAGGACGACGCCGACGACGACGTCGACGCCGACGACGACGAAAACGACGACGACGTCGCCGATGCCGACATCGACGACGACGACGACGAAGGAGGAGGGAGGACGGCGACGGCGACAACGACGACGAGGGAGGAGGGAAAGCGACGACGACGACGACGACGGCGAAGAAATCGGAGGGACAACGACGAGACGCCGACGACGGACGACGACGACGACGACGAGGGAGGAGGAAGGACGACCACGGCGACAACGACGACGGAAACGACGACGACGCCAAGGAGGACGACGACGACGACGACGAGGAACGACAGAGGACGACGACGGCGACGACGACGACGAGGGAGGAGGGAGGACGGCGACGACGACGACGATGCAAGAGCGAGCGCGCACGCTTTTGTTGAACATCCGTGTTGCGAAACCACGTGTTTTTGTATGTGTTTGGGGGCACTCGAGCACTCGATTTTGAAATCCCGCCGAAAGCTAAGATTTTTGAAGCATTTCGGCATGCGCGCGCGACGACGCGCGCGCGCGCACTTCGTCCCATTTTTTGCAGAGGGATTTCTGAAAACTCGGATGTTTGATAAACGAGTGTGCTCGCATAGTGTGTTTTGCCGAGGATGGCGGGGGGGAGTCGATACCGGCCTTGCTGGGATAGTACGAATTCACAGGTAGGATGTAAGGTGGGGCAGAATCATATGCAAATTGCAATGCGGAAAGGGGGATCGATAACTCCAGGGGGGGGGGGTAAAAACTATTCTAATTTTAGAAAGGAGAATCTACGCGGTGCAACATATACAATGTATCCTATGCGGTGCGATCGATGTGGCGCAATGGATTTTTACACACGGGTGACACATTCCAAGCTCTTGCAAACATCCCACCTACCCACCGAAATTTGGTTTGCGAAACCCATGCGGCGGCGATTGCTATGAGTACTTGGCGTTGGCTGGTGCATCTCTGCGGCCGCGCCAACCCACGCACGCGCGCGCGTCGGCCAGCTCGTTTGGCGTGACCGACGTGGCCGCGGTGGCGCTGACCGCTGGGCACATCCCATTGGGCACTTCACTGCAAGTCGCCGACTTGGGCGGGCCCGGTATCATGACAACATCGACAACGGTAGACACGATGATGATCGTAGCGATGCTGGTGGTGATGTTGACAACGACAACAGCGGCCAGTGACGGTGCCGATGCTGATCACGCCGACGACGATGATGGCGTCTTCGCGTCGGTGATGAAGGTTTTGGAAAGAGTTCGACATGCGCGCGCGGCCGACTCGCGAGATATGATCACTCCGGTTTTCTTCGGTGCTCACTGCAGTACTGGATGGATGTCGCGCCCCCCCGCCGCCGCCATTTTGAACTGATTCTGGGCAGCGGGCCCGCCGCCAGTTTGCCCGCTGTCCCCCGCTGTGGTTGTTATAGTGAAAGACGATCCAGCCCGCCGACGACGCCGCCCGCCGCCCGCCGACGCCGCCCGCCGCCCGCGGCTCCGTCTCCAAAACGGCCCATTTTTTCCTAGGTGGGGCGTTGGCGATTTCATTTATATTTTGTTGTTGTTTTTGACCGTTCAAATGGGGTTTGTTTTTTGTTTATAGGTTCCAGGAAAGAGTGCCAGCAATTGATTATATATATATATATATATATATATATATATATATATATATATATATATATATATATATATTGATATTTTATATACCGATTTTGAAATATGTTGCCCACCATTTTTAATTTTCACGGATTTAGAATTTTCCCGCCGCGAGTTTTTTTCATGGGAGTCCTGACTGATATGGTCGGATTGGATCGCCCCGCCGCCGTTTTTTCGCTCATGTCAGTGAGTGATTATGTATATTCGTCTCGCCGCCGATTTTTTTTCTGATCTGCAGTTCTTTCTTGTGGTAACGGCGTGATGGGATATGCCCGAATGGTATTATTTGACAAGGATGGTGCCCCGCCAGCACGCGCGCAAGGGCGTGCGAATGATTCCGGCATGCGGCGCGAGAGGCCCGTTTGGCAGAATGCCATACAAATGTTGAAAACAACAAACGGATGTCTTAAAGGATCCACCAGAGGCGCGAGCGCAAGTCTTTTTAAAAGCTGATGCTGCGAAACCATGTGTTTGTATGTGTGTTGTTGGGAATTCGGTTTTGCAGTCGCTACCATATCGAAGGTGTTCGACGGATGTCGGCATGCGCGCGCGACGACGCGCGCGCGCGTGCATTTCGTCCCGTTTGATACAAACGGTTTTCGTGACAGTGCGCGAGCAAGGGCGTTCCGTTCGAACGATTTCGACATGCGCGCGCGAACCATTTCGGTAGCATGTTATGAGAATGTCGAACAACACATATATTGCTTGTTTCAAGAATCCGCAAGAGCGCACGGGATGAACGTTTGAACATGTGTTGGAAAACCATTGGGTGTTTGTTTCATGCTTTTATGATTAGCCCGTCACGAAACAAAAAAATGATTTCGTTTGGCGCGCGCGGCGATCTCGCATATAATCCACATGCTATTACTGAATCGGGATCCGCACCACAATTTCATCTCAGATCAACACATGTGCACCGCATGGTGTTATTGGGCAGGGACGAAGGGGGAGGCTAATACCAGCTCGTCTGGGACGGCATGAGCTCATCAGGACAGTGACCAAGGAGGCGTAGCCATGTGTAAACAACACGCGAGGCCGAGTTGATAACCCCGGGGTGGGGATGGGGTAGAATCTATGTGCTTACAAAGAGAGGGGGATCGATGTGGGGCGGCGGTGGCGGCGACGGTGGCGACGGGCGGCGCTGACGGCGACGGCCGCCCTGGGTCCCGAGACGAGCGGCGGCGACGGACGGCGACGGGCGGCACCGCCCGCAAAAGTCGCCCTTGGTCCCGAGAGGAGCGGCGGCGATGGACGGCGACGGGCGGCACGGACGGCAAAAGCCGCTCCTGGTCTCGATGGTTAAGCCAAGTAGGATCTCCTTCCTAAGTGCAAACGCTGTTTGGGGTACGCATCTATATATACACACACACACACCTATACACATCTATACACATCCAGGGCGAACAACAGAGATGTAAACGGCACTATGCCACCAGTTCGTCCCCATCCTCGTTCGTTGTTGTCTTTCGTTCCCTCCTCATTCCTATTATTCCTTCTTCCTCTTCATCGTTCTCGCCCTTCTTGTGAACCATGCCCCGTCCTCATTTGTTTGGTGGAGGCTACTCCTTTGGGGGTCCCTTTGAGGGTATGGGCCTCCTGGGAGCCTCTTGTGGCCATCTTGTTGCCACCCGCGAGTTCCCTCAACAGCTGGGTGCCGATTCGGAGTGCTCTGGGAGGCGTCGTTGGGCGGGCCATCTTAGGCCGTCCTGGGAAGTCCTTGGGGCCGTTTGGGGGCCCTCTTGGGCCGTCTTGGGGCCCTCTTGGGCCTCTAGACGCGCGTCTTGGGGCGATCTAGGTGGCCTCTCCGGCGGCCTCGGACATTCGAATGACCGGCAATGCGGGTATAGCCAATTCATACAAACACCATCATAAGTTTGTTGTTTGTCTCGTTCTGGGGGGAATGTGTGGGACCACCTTTGGGTCGTCTTGGGGCGCCTCGGGGGGGTCTGAAACTACTCGGGCCTCTCGTGGGGCCGTTTGGGCATCGTTCGCGCTGCTTTGGGCTCGGTCTCGAGGCCCGCCAGGGATGCCCACGTGGCCAGGAAGCCCAAGGCGACGCTCTGCAGCCCCCCCCCCCCAGAGGGAGGCCCGGGGGTCCGAGGGATCCTGGAGGTCAGGTTCTTCTTTTGGGCGGGTGGGGGTGCAGCTCCCAGGTTTGCAAGATTGATTGCAGGATTCGGAAGAAAGTATCCAGGCCTCGCAGATGGGGTCGGAGCAGATGGGGTCGGAGGACTGCGCCGCATCGCCGATGCATCGCCGATGCGGCTCGATGTGGAGTCTGATTTGCTTCTTGTCGACGTCGCCGATGCGCCGCCGACGTCGACGATGCATCGCCAGTGCATCGCCGATGCATCGCCGATGTTCGCCGATGTGTCGGCGTTGCGGCGCGGCCCTCCGACTCCATCTGCTCCGACCCCATCTGGGAGGCCTCGAAAGTAGAGAGTCAGAGAAAGAGAGAGAGAGGGAGAGCGAAAGGGATGCGTGTGTTCTGCTCCTGCGTCCTGCTCCGAGATGTCGTCGGGCCGCCCTGCGCTTCTGCAGCTGCGTGCCCCGAGGAGATACGCGCTTCCATCGACACCACCTTCAGTGATCAGGCCTCCACGGCGGGGCCGGAAAGGAGAGGAGGGGAAGGCAACGGAGAAGGGGCAGCGGGGCAGAGGATGAGAGAGAGAGGGTAGAGAGAGGATTGGATGTGTGCAAGGGAGAGAGAGCGAGAGAGAGTTCCTCCTCCTCCTCCGCCTCCGCCTCCTCCTCCTCAACCTCGCCCTCCCCCTCCTCCTGCCCCTCCTCCCTCCTCCTGCTTCGGGGAGCTCGCAGAGGGGTTGCCCCGCGCACGGGCGTGCCGGCTCAGGCCTCCACCACCAGGAGCTATGGCTCCCAGCGCACGGACGGCGCCAGGAGCGACGTGGGCAACGCGCTCAAGATGGCGGTGGGCCGCAGGGCGGCGCTCGGCACGGCTCGGCACGGCCTTGCCCTCGTCGTCGCCGTCGTCGTCCTCCTCCTCACCTGCTCTGCTGCCCTTCTCGTCGCCCCGTTTTCTCTCCCATCTCCCACCCCTGCCCATGCCTCGTTCCCCCTCCAGCCTCCTCTCCTCCCCTCCACTTCGCCTCTCTCTCCCATCCCCTCGCCCTTGAGGGGGTATGCAGTTGTGAACTGCCCTCCTTCTCCTCCTCTTCTCTCTCCTCCCCTCCTCTTCGGTTGGACGCAGCGTTGGTGTCCGACCGTCGCGTCGAGTCACTCAGCCGCTCCTCTTTCTCATCCTCCTGCCTGCACCTCCTCCTTATCCTCCTCCTCCCCCTCTGCCCTCCTTCTCCTCCTCCTCATCCTCCGCCTCCTCCTCCTCCTCCTCCTCCTCCGCATTATCATCAGCATCAGCATCATCATCATCACCATCATCATCATCATCATCAGCAGCAGCATCATCAGCAGCATCATCAGCCGCATCATCCTCCGCATCATTATCATCAACACCATCACCAAACCCATCATCATCACCACCAACATCATCATCAGCAGCATCATCAGCATCATCATCAGCATCATCATCAACATCGTCATCATCACCACCACCATCATCATCATCAGCAGCATCATCAGCATCATCAGCACCAGCACCATCAGCATCACCATCACCATCATCACCATCACCATCATCACCATCATCATCGTCGTCATCATCATCATCAGCAGCAGCATCATCATCACCATCACCATCACCATCACCATCACCATCACCATCCACCCCCACCACCTCCTTCTCCTCCCCCTCCCTCCCTCCCTCCCTCCCTCCATCCCTTCCCCCCGTCCTTCCCTCTTCTTTCTCCTCATCCTCCTTTTCATCCTCCTCATCTTCATCCTCATCCTCACCTGTGCCATCACCTCCTGTCCTCCTGTAGCTGTAGCTGTTGGCTTTGAGGGTCGCCAGAAAGAAAGCCCCCCCTCCGTCCCCCCCCCCGGGGCGATCGCCCCCTGGATGGGGGGCGATCAAAATATTCACGCGCACGACGCGCGAAAGAGAACCACGGAAAAGTAAGGAGGACCCCCCAGGGGGTGGAACATCCAGGTCCTTTGCCACCCCAGGGGGGGAGGGGGGGAGGCCCCAGGGGGGGAGGGGGGGAGGACGGAACGACGACGCGGCGACGACGGACAGCGACGACTTGTGGGAGGAAGGGGGGAGGGCAGAGGGAGGACGAGCCCAGGAGGAAAGAGGGAAGGAGAGGGACACGAAGGGAGGGGTGAGACCGTGGCGGAGCCCCGGCGCCCCCGTCCGACCGAGGTGGGCCTGCTGGGGCTCGAGGTGCACCAGGCCCTGGGCCGTTGGAGCGGCGGGGGGGGAGGCCAGGAAGGGCTCGCTTACCCGCCGGGGGGTCGAGGGCGAGGGGGATGCAGAGGGGGAGGGGGGTATGAGGAGGGGGGCGAGGAGGAGGAGGGGGGCGAGGAGGAGGGGGGGGGAGGCCAGGAAGGGCTCGCTTACCCGCCGGGGGGTCGAGGGCGAGGGGGATGCAGAGGGGGAGGGGGGTATGAGGAGGGGGGCGAGGAGGAGGAGGGGGGCGAGGAGGAGGAGGAGGAGGAGGAGGATGGGGTGGGGAGGGGGGGGGGGGAGTGTGGGGGAGCAGGAGGGGGAGGGGGAGGCAGAGAGGGAGGGAGACAAGCTAGGTGCGCTCGCGCAACATCTGAAGTCATACCCCTCCTCCCATCCCTGACCATGGCGCAGATATCCTCTCTGTTCGCACAGCCGAATGCCGAGCAAGGCAATGATCCCGAGAGGGTACGCGATGGAGGTAGAGCACTGCATAGCATGGCGTAGAAGCGCACTGCAGAGTGTACATATCATAGCATGGCGTGGCATTGCGTAGTGAAGCAGTGCATCACAAAACATTGCAACGCAAAGCATGACATCGTACAGCGGCACAGAACACAACACCGCGCTGCACGTGATGGCATGGCACCGTGTTCCTTGGAGTTGATTGTCTTCGAGGGTTCTGGGCCGGTCTGAAGTCGCGGCTCCCTGTTCAGCTCATTGGGCGCCCTGGACAGCTCCCCATGAGGCGGTGCTCGTAGAGAGCACCCGCTGGCTCTGCCTTCAACATCGCCTTCTCAAAACAGAAACGGGGCTCCTGCCTGATACTCCCTCAAAACGACGCAGCGGTAGCACGACTTAGAACGACCAGAGGCGCAAAAGTGGAGCCAGCGCTGCAGCGGGAGCAACATATTTTGCAGGACCGGAAAGAATCGGATTGTCAAAAAAACATGAAACCAAAGTCCCGGTAATCCTGCGCGTTCAAAACAATACTCGGAGGGGTGCCGGCCATTTTCCGCACAGACCCAGGGGAGAGAGGAGAGTAGTATTCATATTGTGCAATTGTGGATCCACAGGCTTCTAATCATTCAGATTGTGAAACTGTGTACTCATATCATGTAGGCTCATCATTTATCTAAGGTTTCATATTTACCTGGTGACATATTATCCTACTTGTTTCTGCTACTGCTGTTGCACCCAGCTAAGATGGATGTCGTCACACCTGGCTTGCGCCTACTCTCACTAATAGTCTCGCCCTGCGCTCCATCCCTTTCATTTTCCGGGCGCCCGCCGGGTGTGTTTTTTTTACCCGAGAAACTTTTACTAACGCCATCGCCATCGCTAACGCCACAGTTTCACGCTCAGGTTGGTCTAACGTAAAGGATGAGGAGGAGGAGCAGGAGGAGGAGGAGGAGAAGGAGGAAGAGGGGGAGGAGCGAGGGGGAGGGAGGAGGGGGAGGGGGACGGGGAGGAGGAGGGCGAGGTGGATGGGGGATGGGGGGGGAGGGGGAGGGGGAGGGGGAAAAGGGGGGGGGAGGGGGGGGAGGAGAACTTCAAGGGCTCAGGATCGAACTTCAAAATTCGTGCTATCGGGTAATTTCCGTACGTTCAGTGCCTCGAGGGGGTTCCCGTCGCTGCGGCGGCATCCGGGTCGACATACGCACTGCAGGACAGGTCCATCGGCGACTTTTCAGGGGAGGGAGGAGAGGGAGGGAGGAGGAATGGAAGAGGATGAGGGTGAGGAGAGGCAAAATAGTACGCCTACCCAGCTCCAGTCGCCTAACTCGTCATCCGTGCCCAGCGTGGTTATGTTGAGCACACGCGCGTACAAGTGACGCCTATGGGCTCCATGCCACGGTTGTCTTACCAAGAGTTAGCGCCTCCTGAAACCACAGGACACACGCCAGACATCAGGTTTGCAGGACTCAGCACGACTCTAGCTGAATGCTCCAGCACCGCATTTGATAATACCTGGTGCGATATACACTTGCCTGCCCACCACTTGATCATATACTTCACCATCAATCAGCACTACTACTTGGCAGCTACTGGCTTGAGCACACGGCTACAATGTCACTGAACTGGCTTAGTTGACCGACGTGGCCACCATGAGCGGCACATTGATGTACATCCCGCTCCGTGAACATACAGGGGGCGATGCCGAACACACCGCATACGCCGAGGTCGGCATCTAGTTGCGAGACCTGGACTACAGCAACACATGCGTGAAACTCATGTTTAAACATGCGAAGCAACTAATACGATCAATTGTACTTAAATATCGCCGACGCAAGCGCCTCCCTCAACTAGGATTACACATGCATGCACGACAAGCGCATCGACATCTACAAGGGCAAATGCGCTGATGGTACGGCCGACACCGACATCGACGACAGGCTCGAGGGCCCTCACAGCGGACAGTAGGCACCAATACCGCTGCGCGACAACTACTGGATGGCGGTTCGTAACTACATTATCGTAGTAGAGTCCCACATCTGGCATACCGCGGTCAAGTTCCCGAGTTGCTGGCGACCCAGAGAAAAACAGCACATCATTCTGGATACTACGGTAGCGCCTACGATCTCCTAGCTCAATATAGCCTTGGTCGAGAAGATGCACCCCCAGGCGCGTATACCAACCGCTCCGCAGACGAGCCCACTCACCCGAAATTTACAGCATGAGCCACGGAAGTGAAGAGCTCCCGAACGGGCAAGAGCTTCACTACCAGCCGACTACTACTGGTGGCTCGGAGTGTCACACCGAGATCTTCGAGCCAGCAGGGGGCCCGATCACGGCCGACTATTACAGCGAGAACGGACTACCGCCCCCTGCGGCGCCACACACCAAGCGCGCGTCAGTCGATCACATCGAGGGCGATACGAGGCTCCAGAGGAGTCACGGCAGCCTCAGCGACGGGCGCTGAGCAGCTACAACATGACAGCTTTCGGGTACACAGTCCTTTTGTTTTTGGTTACCACCTGGATTTCCGACGGCTCTGATGTCAGTTCGCATGTCGGGCATGTTGAACACGACCATACTACGCGTACAGCGTTTCGGACAAGGTATGCCGTGTACAACGGTACATGCAAGGTATTGTGTCTTCCCTGGGCACACGGTCGTCAATTGAGTGTGGCCCCGCCGCTCAGCCCATCCCTTCCCCCTTCCTCTTCAAGCCTCGGGTCGTAGGATGGACAGGCTCCTCTCCCCCTCGAGCCTCGGGCGTCGTCGCCGTCGTGAATCTCCAAAGCGTGGGGCGGGAGAAGTCGAACCCGTGGAAGCCCATCCCACTCACACCTCTAACACACGGCCTGATAATCCTCAAACAACTCCGACATTAAGACTCATCCTCCCTCCCTTGACCCCCTCCTTTTCAGTCCTCCCTCCTCATCCTCCATCCCCAGCCTCCATCCTCCATACTCCTCCTCCTCCCCTCCTCCTCCCTCCCTTCCTCCTCCGCCCTCCTCCCCCTCGCCTCCCCTCCTCCTCCCTCCTTCCTCCTCCTCCTCTCTCCTCCTCCGCCTCCTCCTCCTCCTCCTCCTCCTCCTCATCCTCCTCCTCCTCCGCCTCTCCTCCTCCCCTCTCCTCATCCTCCTCCTGCCCTCTCCGACTCCCTCCTCCCTCCCCTCTCTCCTCTCCCCTCCAACTCAACTCTCCTTCCTCCTCCTCCGCTTCCTCTGCCGCCCCCTGGGGCGCCGAGCGGCGCGCGCCGCGGACCAGGATCGTTGCATAGTGTTGCTCGCCGAGGGTGGAGGAGGAGGAGGAGGAGGAGGAGGAGGAGGAGGAGGAGGAGGAGGAGGGAGGAGGAGGGAGGAGGAAGTGGAGGAGGAGGAGGTGGAGGAGGTGGAGGATGGGGGGGGGAAGAGGAGGAGGAGGAGGAGGAGGAGGAGGAGGAGGAGGAGGAGGAGGAGGAGGAGCTCCGGGTGGTGGGTGCGCCCTGACTCCAGATCCGCCCTACTTTGGCTTTTTTCCCAATTGAAAGCTGCGTCGGAAATCCACCTATAAGAGGCCGAAGAAGTAGGGCGGAAATTTCTGCACCCAGCATAAAGTAGGACGGAAATCCACAGAAGTAGGGCGGAAACAGCAGCAGAAAAGTAGGGCGGAAATTGGCATCAGCGGGGCTTGAAAAGTAAGGCGGAAATTCTAAGCCTTACTTACGAATTTCCCCAAAGTAGGGCGGATCCGGAGCCAGGGCGGTGTCCGGTGTCCCGCCGGCGCTCTGCTGCCAAAGCTTTTTTTTTTTTTTTGGTTCTGTTTATTTTGCGATTTTTTTTTGTTCTTTTCTGTGGTTGTTTTTTTTCTTTTGTTTATGTTTTTTTTTTTTCAGTCTCTTTTTTTGTTTTTTCTTTCTTTTTTTTTTCTTTTTGTTTTTTTTTTTCATTTTATTTCCTTTTTTTTTTTTTTTGTTATTCGCCTGGGAGGGCCGTGCGGGGCGCCAGCCGCGAGCGGGGAGCTGCCTTCGGGAGAGGCCCGCCCGCCCAGGGGAGGTTTGGAGCACCCGCGCAGGAGCGAGGCGGGGAGGGAAGGGTGCTGATGGGTGCTGGGGAGGTGGGGCTGGGAGGGGGGTGCTGGGGAGAGGGGGCTCATCCCCAGCCTGTCCCCCAAGCCTCTCGTCCATCCGTCCCCTCCCCTGGCAATGCATACACACACGCACACTTGTGACACTTGTTTTTTTGTTTCTCTCTCTCTCTCTCTTGATATTTGTTTGTTTTCTCCATCTCCGTCCTCTCTCCCTCTCTCTCTCTCTCTCTCTCTCTTCGCTTCCCTCCTACGCGCATACGGTCAGTGTCCGTGCGTACGTCTCAGTCTCCGTATCGGTCTCCGTCCTCTCTCTCTCTCTCTCTCTCTCTCTCTCTTTTTGTTCTCTCTCTCTCTCTCTCTCCCTGTCCATGTCTTTCTCTCTCTCTTTCTCTCTTTCGTTATTTCTCTTTCTCTGTATCTGCCTCTGTCTGTCTTCCTGGGTTGTTGCCGCCTTCCTCTCTCTCTCTCTATCTATCTCTTTCTCACGGTCTCTCTCTCCTCCTTTAATCTCGTTTATCCGCTGTGGTCCTCTTTGTCTTTGTCATCATCGTTGTGCCGCTTTGGGTGATCGCCTTCCCATCCTCTTTGGTTTCTTGTCTACTGCAAGGCGCCGAGCTCGAGGGCCGAGATGTGGTTCTCCTTCCAGGCGAGCGAATTTGGAAGCAGCGGATGCAAAGCAGTTGCAATACGAATCAGCAGCGTGGTTGTGAGGCATCTGTGGCGAGCAAACAGCGCAGTCGGGAGACAGCAGAAAAGGACAAGGAAGCCCGCTCCTTGCTTCACGATGCGCGCGCCTGTGCAGATTCACAGCTTCAACTCTCGCTTCCCCATCTGTAGTTGCATGTGGAGTTCAAGGAATGGAAAAGTGGAGGAATGGCGGATGATGCGATTGATGAAAAGAGTAGGAGGCGGGGAGGAGGAGGAAGAAGTGGAGAAGGGCAATGAGGACAAGGATGATAATAAGGGGGAAGAGAAAGCGGGGAGGAGGCGGAGGTATAGATCCAAGACTCGCCAACGATGTTGCAGTAAACCCTCCCTCCAAGTTCTCTCGTCATATGTCTCTACACGGACTCATTGTTACTGAGAGGCGTGCCCCGTTGGAAGGCAACCGCGTGAAAATCCTGAGCCGCGGAAGAACACCATTCCTGGGACGTCAACGCCTCGAGTCCACGTTACTTCTGCGTCCTGTCGATCCTGATTCGTACCAGAACGCCTTCCCTTGGATTCCAGCACCACAAATCAGCGTGACCCTTGCGTCCTGACGGTCTCGCATCGCGCCAAAACGCTATCCCTGGGACGTCAGCCATAAGAACCCGTGGCACGGTGGCACACTCCGAAGACGAGTGAACGCGGCGCCCAAGCGACAACCATCCGTCACGCTCCTGCACACTTTGCACGGATGTGCGCGGCACTAATGCGAGAGCCACATATTCAAAACCGCCCGCCCTCCATCCGTGAAGCTGTTGCAACTTCTCAGCTTAAGGATCACACACTGTGAGGAAGTCTCGGGCGGAACGCCCAGCTTGCCTTGCCGACACGTGTTGGGGTGCAATAGCGAAGGGTCATTAAGACTGGAACTGGATGCATGAGGAGGAGGAGGAGGAGGAGGAGGAGGAGGAGGAGGAGGAGGAGGAGGAGGAGGAGGTTGGATGATGAGGAGGATGAGGGCGACGGGGGGGAGCAGGAGAAGGAGTGAGGAACGGGGAGGCTGGTGGAGGAGAGAGAGAGAGAGGGGAGGATACTATGGAAGAGGAACTGGAAGAAATTCAAAGGACGAGGGGGGATGAGACGAGGAAAACGAGTTGCAGTAATATGTAGTAGTAACCGTAGTAGTAGTAGTAGTAGTAGTAGTAGTAGTAGTAGTAGTAGTAGTAAAAGTAAAAGTAAAAGTAGTAGTAGTAGTAGTAGTAGTAGTAGTAGTAGTAGTTAGTAGTAGTAGTAGTAGTAGTAGTAGTGAGCAGGCCGTAGTAGTAGCAGTTAGTAGTCGTAGTCGCAGTGGTGGTAGTTAGTCGTAGTAGTAGTATTTAGTAGTAGTAGTAGTAGTAGTAGTAGAGCAGTAGTAGTGGTAGTAGTGGTAGTAGTGTTAGTAGTAGTAGTAGTAGTAGTAGTAGTAGTAGTAGTAATCGTAGTCGTAGTAGTAGTAGCTAGTAGTAGTGTGAGTAGTAGTAGTAGTAGTAGTAGTAGTCGTATAGCTAGAGTAGTCGATTATAGCTAGAGTAATAGTAGAGTAGTTTTAGCAGTAGTAGTCGTAGTGTAGTAGTAGTCAGCAGTAGTAGTAGTAGTTAGTAGTAGTAGTAGTAGTAGTCAGCAGTAGTAGTAGTAGTAGTAGTAGTAGTCGTAGTAGTCGTAGTAGTCGTAGTAGTAGTAGTAGTAGTAGTAGTAGTAGTAGTAGTAGTAGTAGTAGTAGTAGTAGTAGTAGTAGTAGTAGTGGTCGTAGTAGTAGTGTAGCAGTAGTGGTAGTGGTAGTAGTAGTAGTAGTAGTAGTAGTAGTAGTAGTAGTAGTAGTAGTAAGTAGTAAGTAGTAAGTAGTAAGTAGTAAATAGTAAATCGTAAGTAGTAAGTAGTAAGTAGTAAGTCGTAAGTAGTAAATAGTAGTAGTAGTAGTAGTGAGTAGTAGTAGTAGTAGTATTAGTAGTAGTAGTAGTAGTAGGGTAACCCTTAGTCTATGGCGGCCTGCTATTTATCTATGGCGGGTAGTTTCGGTGGGCTTTCGGGACAGGCGTACGATAAACATCTATAATAAATAAACTACGCGTCTCTTTAACACTTGAATTTATGGCCGACCACACGGCGAGGAAAAAAAAAAAAAAAAAGTCCTCACCGGAAATATTTTCTGCCGGAATCCTCAGGAATTCTCCAGGACCCCTCAGGAATTCCAGAGGAATCCTAACGAATTCTCCCGGAATCAAAAGGAATTCGTGAAGAATCCCAAGGAATTCATCAGGAATACCCAGGAATCCCTAAGGAGTCCTGAGGGATTCTCTAGGAATCCTAAGGAAATCTCTTGGACCCCTAAGGAATTCTTCAGGAATCCCAAGGAAGCCTGCAGGAAACCCAAGAATTTGTCCAGGAAGCTTCCAGGAATCCGAAGGAATCCTAAGGAATCCTGAAGGAATCTCAAGGAAATCCGGAGGAAGCCTTAGGAATCCATGCGGAATCCCAAGGAAGCCTCCAAAGGAAGTCTCCAGGAATCCGAAGGAAAGGAATCCTGAGGAATACCAGAGGAATCCTTAGGAATTCTTCAGGAATCCTATGGAATTCAACAGGAACCCTAAGGGATCTCGGAGGAACCCGAAGGAATCTCAAAGGAATCCTAAGGAAGCTGGGAGAGGAATTCACCAGGACTTCTTAGGGAGCCTCCAGGAATCTGAAGGAATCCCCGGCGAATCCTAAGGAATCCTTGAGATTCCATAGGAATTTTCAAGGAATCCTCTGGAATTCTCAAGGATTCCTTGGGAATTCTTCAAGAATCCGAAGGAAGTCTTCAGGAATCCGAAGGAAGTCTATGGGAATCCTAAGGAAGTGTCCAGGAGTCCTGAGGAAGTCTCCAGGAATCCTAAGGAATGCTAGAGGAACCCCAAGGAATGCTCGAGGAATCCTAAGGAAGTCTCGGTGAATCCTAAGGCTTCCTCGGTGAATCCTAAGGACTTATCCCGAAGATTCCTACGAAAGTCTCGAGGAGTTTTCAGGAATTTTCGAGACTGAGTACGCGCGTGGAGTCCTCGAGGAATTCTCTAGAGGAGATCACAGCAGCAACGGCGGTGGCCACGGTGGCGCGGGGCAGAAATGCCCATGGAAAGGGGCTCCCATGAGGCCACCACGTTGACACCAAAAAGACCAACTTAGCGCGATTCCTTTAGGGGACATATACGTCTTCCGCATCCAGGACGGCCCAAAACGCTTCCAAGGTCGCTCCGGCAAAGCCATTGGTTTGCAATAGAATACGAATTAGAACCATTGGCTTCCAATAGAAAATGAAGCCGAACCATTGGTTTTCAATCGAAAGCGACTTAAATCCATTGGTTTCCAAAGGGGAACTAATTAAAACGATTGGTATCCCTAATTAAAGCCATTGGTTTCCAAATAAAACATTATTCAAAACAATTGGTTCCCAATAGAAAACTAATACAAACCATTGGCTTCCAATAGAAAACTAATTAGAACGATTGGCTTTCCTAATTGAAACCGTCGGTTCCCCAATAGAAGACTAATGGAAACCATTGGTTTCCAATGGAAAACTAATTTACATAGATATACATATATTTATAGGTATATATATATATACACATATATTGGTTTCCAGTTGAAAACTAAGTATAGCCATTGGTTCCCAATCGAAGATTAATTAAAACAAGTGCTTCCCAATAGACAACTAAGACAAACCATTTGTTCCCAATAGAAAGTTAATGAAAACCATTGGTTTCCAATAGAAACTAATTAAAACCACTGGTGTCAAATGGGGAACTAATTAAAACCATCGGTTTCCAATGGAACAACCCGATGGAAACAATTGGTTCCCAATAGAGAGCCAATGACAAACTATCGGTTTCCAATAGAAAACTAATATACATTATTCACTTCGTGGAGCTCCCCATATGTGCATCTCATGTTCTATATTCTGCCGTGGTGAGCGTCTGCTCATGAGCGTTTGACTATACTAGCCCGTCCACGTTGGCGACAGGCCCGGCGAAGACGAGCGCATCCTGATGCGAGTGAGCGAGTATGAGTCAGAGTGAGCTGAGTATGATTGAACATGAGCCTCTTCATCTGCACCCCCCCTCCTCAGCTGCCAGGCCGTGCCCTCTTCAGCCTGCGGTGACTTCGGAGCTTCCCATATGTGCATACTCTTACTCCTCCTCCTCCTCCTCCTCCCCCTCCTCCTCCTCCTCCTCCTCCTCCTCCTCCTCCTCCTCAACCTTTCCTCCATCTTCAAAATCTGCTATGAAAGCCAAGGATGTTGAGCACGAAAACGAGCGAACCACCCGACACATCCCCACAAACTGGCCGCGAACGGGCCCGTGATATACCCCCTGGCGGTTCCCCTTAGGGGTGCTGAAACCAGCGCCCCGCCTGAGACATCCTCAAAATCTGCTATGACAGCCAAGGATGTTGACAACGAAAACGAGGAAACCGCTTGAGACATCCCCACAAACTGGCCGCGAACGGGCCCGTGATATACCCCTCTGGCGGTTCCCTTTAGGGGTGCTGAGACCAGCGCCCCGCCTGAGACATCCTCACAATCTGCTGTGAAAGCCAAGGGTGTTGAGCACGAAACGAGCAAACCGCATGAAACATCCCCACAAACTGGCCGCGAACGGGCCCGTGACATATCCCCTGACGGCTCCCCTTAGGGGTGCTGAAACCAGCGCACCGCCTGAGGCATTCTCACAATCTGTTATGAAAGCCAAGGATGTTGAGCACGAGAACGAGGAAACCGCTTGAGACATCCCCACAAACAGGCCGCGAACGGGCCGTGATATACCCCCTGGCGGCTCCCCTGAGGGGTGCTGAAACCAGCGCCCCGCCTGAGACATCCTCACAATCTGCCGTGCGTTGAGTAACCCAGACTATGAGAAGGTCTGGGTATGTGTGGGTCTGAGTATGAGTAAGTCTGTGTATGCGTACGTGTGGGTATGAGTAAGTATG